GTAATAGTAGTAGAAGTAGTAGTTGGCCTTCATTGTGCTCTGCACGAAGACTGCGTTCACGACATTCAACCTGCGCTATCAAAAGTTCAGGTCATACGCATCTATTGCGTGAACTGCAGCTTCAGGAATGCTAAGTTCGGAACACAGCGAACCCAACAAAGCAGCGGTAGATGATGAAGACCAGCGCGTACCACTCGCTGACATGGTCTATGAGGATTCGACATGGTGGTGCCCAATTTGCGAACAGGACCTTCACAGAGCGCGACAAGTGAAAGATTTGGATTGAACCTTCTTGGCATCCATAGTCTTCACATGTCTTCACCGCATACGATTCTGCAAGGAAAATTGCAAGTCTCTTGTGGCAAGGGACCGGCACTTATAAGGCATTTGTCCGGAAATAATGGTTCCTACATGGGATCTTCATACGAAGGACCGGCATGTTTGGCATATACATACCTGTTGGGGCTGAGTTCCCCAGATTAACCACGCGAATCGGGATGCCTGAGCGGCTGTAGCAGCCTAAATCATGACCAATAGTGCGTCCTATTTCTCAAATGCTTCTGGAGGATCCCTCAAACGGACCTGAACATGATTTTGGAGATGATTTAGGTCCCTGCGTTACAATCTCTACAAGCCGTACATAAGCCAGTTTCCATGCCCAAGCAGATCCTATCGACCTGCTTTCGCGGCTCTTCCCGAACAGCAGTGGAAACCTGGGTTGGGGTTTAGGGTTTAGGAAGGTTTGCTATGAAACGAAGGACCCCAAACCCTAAACCCCAACAGCCATCAAAAGGTCTCATAGGAGAACACCTGGTCTTTTTTCTCTACCTAGGTGGAAAAGCCTCGCTCGCAAGGCCCTCAACCTCAGCACATGGGCCGTACAAACCCTGTCTATACCTGTAAACCCTCAGTTTCCACTGAAATTTCCCATTTTTCTTGTTCATTGAATTCTCCACCACTGGGGTATTATCCCAATGGGGAGATAATCCCTATTTACAACCCCATCTCACCCTATATAACCCTATATCCCATTGGGGTAGTATCCCAACAACTCGAAGCTTGATCCTAAACCCTTGACCCTAAACCCTTTGCACCTCAAACATCGTCAGGAGGGTTGCGGAAAAGCTGCCGTAATACCGGAAAACATCAAACCTGGAATATTGGGCGGTTTAGGGTTAAGAGTTTGTGAAATCTTGCAAGCTATGACACCAGAAATTCTACAATGCGTTTCAAGAACAACCCAGAAACCTGGCTTGCATGGGCGCAGTTTCGTCCACCATGAACTCACTCACCTATGCTGTGCGTCTTCGACTTTTAGGATTAAGGGCTGGGGTTTTCCGTGACACCTGTTCTTATAATAACTTCTATTGAAGGAATTCTTGCACCAGCTAGGGGCCTCAAGCATTAAGGTAATATTATAGGGCAGCATCGGATTTCCTCCATAAGGAATGAAGAGGCACTACTGTCCTCAAAAGCTCTGCTTAACACAGCCCCTTGGCCATATAGCTAATGGTCATGCCGGCGCTGATCTGGATGATCATCAACAGGAACCTAACAGCATGGGAAATCCAGCATCAAAACCATCAGCAGAAATTGTCCAGGCACCTGTTCAAGCACGCCATGCGCAACTCAGACTGGGCTAGCGGCAACGACCAGAATAAGATGCGCACCTCAATCAGTACTTGTGACAGGAACTGTGTTGGTATTGCACCCTTCCATGTCACCAATTGCATTTCCACGGTGACAGGCTCATGCTCCCAACTTTCACGTCAGGCTGGTTCGCATCCAAGCCACACTTGCTGCAATGCACTTCCTCAGCAGAAGGCACCGCGGCAAGAAGCTTCGGGCAAGATCCCTGACTGGCCTCTCCTTCTGAACTGACGGGATGGGTGTCGAAATGAGAGCCCTGCAAAATTTTGATTGTTCTCAACTGGCCAGGGAAGACTTTCTGGGGATCTCTGCTGCAACCCCAATCCCGCCCGGAGAGGTGGAAAAGCAGCACCACCTCCCGAGCTGTGAGTCCTCCAGTAAACAGAGCTGTGGACCGGATTGTCACTCCGGAGATTTGACAGAGAATGTGAATAGTTGCAGCAGAACTACGTAGCCAAACTAGCTCTAGTAGTCATCGCAACAATGGACGCACTGATGGAGAAAGGATCACCTACTGCAGTCCGCGGCTCAGCAGCAGCTGTAGTGACTCGAGGACGTGGGACATTCTCACGACCCGAATAGCCCTCAGCAACCTCGCAATCTCGAGTGCTTGTAGGCAGAGCTCTGGGACTGGTAGTCCAGGTTTAGCAAAACCCTCCCTCCAATAATACGCACTCCGCTAATTTGGGCACTAAACCGGGGGTGTTTGTTATGGGGGGCTAAGATTCGTGGAGGGGATTACACACAACCCGATCCAACGAAAATTGATGGGTTCACATCGCACGAAAAGGCTTGTAAGGACAACTGGGCCCGCGGAAGACAAAGAAGAAGCGACATTAGCTAGTAAACCGTAAGTCCTAAACCCTAAACCTTAAACTTGCACCCTACACCCTAAACCCGAAGCCCCTAAACCTCAAGCTCGACAAAAAGCCTAACTAGCGGGCATTTTCCCAAGCGTCTTTCCCAATCGCAGCAGCCGGAGGAATGTGGGGCTTATAGGAAGCGCTGCCGCAAAGAGCTCAAGCCATGAGCTGCAAACCACCTTTAGGGCTTTGAGGTCTCAGGGTTTTAGAGTTTTAGGGGTTAGGGTGTAATGGCTTGGGGTTTCAGGGTTTGAGGTTTAAGGGTTAGGGTTTAGGGTTTCAGGATTTAGGGTTTGAGGTTTAGGGCTTAGGGTTTCAGGGTTTGAGGGCCAGGGGTTAGGCAGGGTTTCAGGGTTTAGATTATGAGGTTTAGGGGTTTAGGGTATGAGGGTTTCAGGGTGTAGGGTTCAGGAATTAGGGTTTCAGGATTTAGGCTTTGAGGTTTAGGGTTTCAGGGATTGAGGGTTGGGGGCTAGGGTTTCAGGGTTTAGGGCTTGAGGTTTAGGTTCAAGGTCTAGGGTGTATTTCAGGATGCGGGGTTTAGGGGTTAGGGTTTAGGGTATGAGGGTTTCAGGGTGCAGGGTTTAGGGGTTAGATTTTAGGGTTCAGGGTGTAGGGTTTATCATTGAGGGCTTCGGGTTTCAGGGTTTGAGGTTTAGGGGTTAGGGTTACGGTTTCAGGATTTAGGGTTTGAGGTTTAGGGCTTAGGGTTTCAGGGTTTAGGGTTTAGGCGTTAGGGTCTAGGGTATCAGGGCATAGGGGTCGGAGTTTAGGGTTTCAGGGTGCATTGTTTAATGTAAGTCTTAAGGTTTAGGGCTTAAGGTTTCAGGGTTTAGGGCTGAGGGTTTTGGGTTTAGGGTTTCAGGGTTTAGGGGTTAGGGTCTGGGGTTGAGGATTTGGGGTTTAGGGTTTAGGGGTTAGGGTTTACGGTTTCAGGGTTATGGTTTCAGGGTTTAGGGTGAAGGGTTTCAGGGTTCAGGGCTTCAGGCTTTAGGGTTTAGGGCTTCCACTTTAATGAGAGGGGTTTTGCAACCTAGCAAGGGGAATAGGGGCGTTTTAAGGAGAGGGATAATGCACCATGGAAAGTACTACATCGGGCTCAGGTTCATTACCTGATTAGTGAAGTAGGCAAACCAACCAATACTAGAACATGAAAGAAATGTATAGAGGTTATAGAATGATTTATATGGGTTTATAAGAGTGTTTCGGGAACCCAGAATGATATGGAAAAGAAAATGGACGATGTACTGGAAGCTGGGGCGTTGGTAACCCCAATCCCTTACTAGAGACCGATGATTGTCATGGGTTCTGGGTTTAGGGTTGTGTAACCCAAATCCCCTCACCACACCTGATTTCTTGCAGGTTCCCGGGTGGCTATAAGTGGGGTGATGCGCAAGTGCCCTGAATAGGGTTAGAAGCCAGCATGGCGATTGACCCCAACGTTCACTCAAAACTAGAAATACCTGTGAGGCTCCAAGTATTTTGGTTGGTTTCTTCCTTCCGCAGATAATAAAATCCCCACCCCCATCACCCCCCCGAGTAATGAATAAGTACTCCCTTGCATGACGGTAATACGAACCATGTTGGGGAATATTGATTAGGGAATGGAGAAGGTTCTTATCATGGGGATTTGTGCTTTACTCAGGTACTACTACCTTCCGAATAGCAGTTCATTTGCTTCTGACTTGAATGCTTTTCGACCTAGTGGATCTGACAAAACCCAAATGAGTCAGAAGGTTACCCACATGGAGCTCCCAAGCCACAAGAAAGTCAATCCAATTCAGACTGTACTTCCAGAACGTCATCCGCAGGTAGTACAGGCGCGTCAGCATTTCCAACCTGAGCGCTGGAAACTCTAAACCCCAAACCCTAACCCTTGCAATGCAAGGCTACCTGCAACATCAGAACAATAAAAGAGTTTTGCCAATGCGCTTCACAAGGTAACATCTCAATCCCATCTCAATAAAATCCCACTAAAACAAATACAAAACCCCTGCCTACTCCTACCTGGCCATTTTCCCCAAAGATCAGACACAATGCGTGAAGAGAGTTGCAAAAGCTATATCGCCCACCAGGAAGACTTGTTCCGAGTTCGGCCACGCCTGGCTGGGCAAGATTGGCGAAGAGCCAGGTTGTCCCCTCCCATCGCTGGTTAAGGTTTAGGGTTTTGGATTTAGGATTTAGGGTTTAGGGTTTCGGAGTTTAGGGTTTGGGGTTTAGGTCTTGGGATGTAGGATTTAGGGTTCAGGGTTTGGGATTTAAGACTTAGGGTTTAGGATTAGGGCTCACTGACAATGTTCAACAGAAGGGCCAAGGGTAGTTGCATGGTAGTTTTCCAAAATAGGGGTGGAACCCACTATAGACCCCAAAATACTATAATATACTATAGTTAGTCCCTTTTATGGGGAACACCCAAAACCTACACGCACTATGCCACTACTAGCACATGCGGGGGGAGTGGGGGCAACCTGAGTGAAAAAGCTTTTCCGCAAAGAAAGCTATGGAGGTTACCGGAAATTAGAGGACCCTTTTCAGGCGTCTTCATGACAAGGATTGCGGTATTTGGGGGTCTTTTTCTTGGGTGCGCCCTATACATGGAAACTACCCGATTGCCATCACAGTAAGTTCATGATGACAGAGGAAAAGAAGCGGCAGCTAACAAGAAGAGCTGCAGCAGCAACATTGGGAAGCAGCAACTGGAATTGCCTTACAGACGAGAAAAAGAAAGTAACTGGAAAAGCAGGACACAAAAAAGTCTTATGGTCATTGAGATGATGCCAGCCATCGGGCAAAGTCGGTACAGTAGGTGCCGCTCATACTGTCTGCATATTTGTTGTTTTCCCAAGGGCCTCACTCATATAGAACAAGAAACTACTTGGAACCCTGTTGTGGAGTTGGTCTAGTTTACATGGATAGCATCCGAAAACAGGACATCATTCCTTTCTATTCCTAAGGGTCCTAATTTGAGCAACCTTGTCCAAATTGCGGTCCCTTCTTCTGTCCCGCCATGTCCCACCATAATAAGCCCTAACACTGTAGGGTGCCCCAAAAGAGGCCCCCAATGGTGAGCAACTCCACATGCGATCAACTCGGCCTCCTCGGCCGTCTGGTCGTATCGAGCATAACCAATCTCGTGGCCAATTCTCAGGCCAAGGTATTGAAGCTGCGCAGCCATAAAGCACACGTTGATAAAGAGCAGGCCAGCAATCAACATCTCAAAGGTACCTGGGTGGGGATGCGGCAGTCATGCTTCCTGGAAACACGCGGCCTGGACAGGCACGCAGGTCCAATTCCAATCAAGTCACTGCTTAGGAAAAATGCGCGTATTCGATCCATGCCAGTGTCGGGTTGCACTTCGCCAAGATCCTCGGTGCTGCTAGGCAATTTAAACACAGTGTCCACAACATAGGAAAAACTTAAATAATACGGTTTCCTTATCATAGTAATTTCTAACAAGTTCCTTAACAGCAACCCAGCATCTTCGGAGTCAGTCTCCAACTCAAGCCCCGCATCTAAGGACTGGCTGGATTGCAATGACCGCAGCGATGTTGATGACGCCTGGGGGCCTTCTGCAGCAAACAGGGCACACTAGTCCTGAAAATTACCAGGAAAGACATAAAGCTGACACCCGCATCGTGAATGACCAGCTAAGACCGGAGAGCAACAGTAACAAATTTGCAGGAATGCCACAGATACCATTTGTGATGGCACCAGCAAAAAAAGAACCTATCCGCTGGACAGAAGCTCAGCAGGACCCTATGTACCTAACTCTGGACATTCGGCTATCGTGGTCTCCTCGGGGTCGCGTAAACCTTGTCCAGAGACCCTGGGCGGAGTTTCCACAATAACCTCCCCCCTAAGCCTATACACCCCAGAAATTTACTGCAAACACTATAGCACTCTAGTTCCTATTAAAAGGATCCCAAAAGGTCGAGGAAAACCCAATCACTATAAATACCAAATTTTCCATGCCATTTCTCATTCGTTTCTCCAGCAATATGGGGGGGATTTCCCTTTGCAACAGGCTTCAGGGGGATATCGCTAAACCCTCAACCCTAAGCCACAAACCCAAGGAAACCTCCAGGCAAAAAGTTATCAGGTGGGTAACCCTGACCTAAAGGAGGCCTATATAGACCTCAAAGAACCCCATTACCCTTACACAAGCCTTCTATGGGCCTTATCTGGGGGTATCCTGGTAACTATACCCACCTGAGGGTGCCCTTGACGTAAATCCGAAACCCTAAACCCGACGATGGGTTGACCGGCGTCCTGGGCTCTCCACACTGGCAGCGCCAATGGCGCTGGAGATCGTTGCTCTGTTGTCCACCTCTTCCAAAGCGCGGGACTCGCTTCGCCCAATGGCCTTCAGAATTTAGAGGTTTAGACACGCGCTTAGGATCTTGGGTGCGGGGCTCCGGGATGCAAAAAATTGGAGAAGCGCATCAAAATTAACTAGAAACAGCGATAAACACCAGCTCTAGCACCCAATAATCTGCATGAGAACCATGAAGGGAGCAATGGTTGCAAGAGCAGCAAGGTTGCCACTTCCGTGTTCGCACATGCGACGCATAAGGCCCACATGGTGCAGACTTGGAGGTATGGTGGATGGAGGAAATATCGCCCTACTTACGACAGAACTGCAACGCATACAAGGTGGCAAGCAACTTGCTCGTAATGCCCCCAACCATGTGTGACTGGCCTACTAAAAGAGTACCCTGACCCTCCAAGTACCAACCAAACTCGTCAGGGCAGAGTGTTTGGCCTGCAGCGGCGGAGAAATCCTTGGTTTAGACAGTTCAGGCCTTGACGGTATACCTAGTGGGGTAGTATTAGGGTCTATATTGGGGTAATATTGGGATACTGGAAAAGAAAATGGAAACTAGTATTATATTGGGGTAATATATGGTTTGAAGGTTAGATTCTAGCTTACGGAGTTTGAGATTTGGGGTCTACAGGGTTCTAGGGTTCAGGGTTTAAGTTCCAGAGTCTAGGGTTTAGGGGAGGTCTAGAATCAAGAGTCTAGGGCTTGGTGTAAGGAATCTAGATTTTTGCGTTTTACGGTTTAGGTTCCTCAGTTTATGGCTAAGGCTGTAGAGTACAGAGCTTAAGGCTTGAGTTGCTAGGCTTTTAGGCTTCAGGTTCCAGACTTAGGACTTAGGCTGCAGAGTTCAGAGTGTACAGTCTCCCTTAAGTAGATAGAATATGGATTATGTATATTATACTAATATCACCATATACTCCATATTCTATCTTTTTAAGGGGGACAGTACGTTTTAGGGTATCAGGGTTCAGGGCTTAAGTTCCCAGAGTTCAGTGTTTACGGTCTGAGGGTTCACGGTCTAGAGTCTAGGTTTAGAAGTGTTGGTTCCAAAAGAGCTTCGCATTTGAGGGTTTATGGTCAAGAGTTTGGACTTCAGAGTTTAGGGCTTGAAGTTAGGCTCCAGAGTTTTAGAGCTCAGTGCGCCGAGCTCTTAATTCAGGGTTTACATTTATAGTCCCACTTAAGTAGCTAGAATATGGGTTAAATGGGGATCTTATGAATATACCCAAAGCCATACTATCTACCTAAGGTGGGCTATAGGTTCCAGAGTTCTAGGGTATGGGGACTAGGATCTGGAGCTTAGGTTTCACGGCACTAGGCGTAGGGGTTCAAGTCTGGAGTTTAGGGAGTCTGGGGAGTTAGGGCCCAGGGTCTAGATGTTAGGGTGCAGTTGTTGTTCTTCCCCTGTTTCACCTGCAGACTCCAGGTAGAAGGCGCATTGCGCTTGGAAACAAATCAACACGAACCAGAATTTTAGGGGTTTCGGTCGAAGGCCTAGAGTTTTGGCTTTAAGGTTTCCAGTTTTAAGGTTTAGATTCTAGAGTTTTTTGTGGCTTAGGGTCCAGGGTCTAAAGGTTGAGGGTTCAGGGTTTTTTTGGGGGGGGCCTGGAGTTTAGGTTTCAGGCTTGTAGGGTTTAGGTTGAGAAGTTTTGGCATCAAGGGTCTGAGATGTGGAACTGACAGCCTCCAAAGCGCGCATAATTACCCCTTCAGAGGGACCTCTAAATTGCCCTAAATTCTAATCCCTAGAAAAAACCTATATGAGCCATCGTCTAAACTCCAAGTATCCCCCCTAATAACCCCCACAATAGTCCACTATATGATCCCCTCTAACCCGACTTTCAAGGAGTTTAGACCCCAAACCCTAAATCCTAAACCCTAAATCCTAAACCCTAAATCCTAAACCCTAAATCCTACACCCTAAACCCCAAACCCTAACTAGAGGGGGTTATATAATCATATATATTCCCTTTAAATGTAAAAAGTTTCGACGACGGCGCAGGTATTCGCGGAGTCCTGAGAGATTCTGGCCTCAGCCTCTGCACCTGCGCGGCAAAAGGGCAGGATGGAAGTTTACCAAAATTAGGGTGTACCTTTTAAAGGGTTGATCTGGGGTTTAGGGTTTAGAGTTTCCCAAAATTTGGGGGTACCTTTAAAGGGTTTATAGGGTTTATATAAAGTTTAGAGCTTCCAAAAATTAGGACGTACCTTTTGGGGGGGGTCTCCATAATCAGATCATTGTATGGCATGGCCATCATACAGTAAGTAGCACCCCTATTCAAACGGTCATTCTTCTTAATTCCTGCGCCCTACTCGCAAATAGACCCCCGACCCGCGATATTCAATAGCATTGCCGGGGAGGGATACAGTCCCCCTTTAAGTAGATAGAATATGGGATATATGGGGCAACCTTATTATAATGTACCCAAAGCCATATTCTATCTACTCAAGGCAGACGATACCAGGGAAAAGCGGTTCGGCCTCTTCAAGGTGGATAGCTGCCAGCTCTTGCAAGAGCGCCGCAAAGCGTGGAGATAAGCCCTCCACCGTGAATGCAGGATCATCCATCCTGTACCAAGGATTTCTCTGCTTGAAGTTGAATGCTAGGGCCTACAAAGACTGCACAAAGGGCGATGCCGGATTTACATCTTTCTTTGTCGGGTGGGAGAGTAAAAGCCTGCAACGAGCTTTTCATCTTCAATAATGTTCACGTATACCACGGGAATTATGCTTGCTTTCACTCCCCGGCACTCCTCCTTAAGCACCCTCGCAGCCAAATTCACATGAGGTTCTAACTAAACCATATGGAGGTTTCTGAAATTGGGGGTACCCGTTTGAGGGTCCCCATAATAAGGATTCTAGTTCGGGGGGGTCTGTGTCGGGGTGGCCCCATGTGTGGGAAATACTATATCCGGTCAATCTTTCTCATGAGTCTTCAAGTATTACAGGGCCGGAGGTCTGACTTCATGTCTAGTTCCATTTGGGGGCCTTTTCCAGCTGATTCTACACTAATGCCGCCCTGAACCCTAAACCCTAAGCCCTTAACTCTGAACTCCTGTCTCCCTCCTTGAGCCTAAACTCAAATATATATACATATACATATACACATATACCCCTGTCATAACCCAGTTTTTATGGCCCTGCTGTAGCTTATACCGTGCCTTGACGTCCACACGGCCAGCTCTGTCTGGCTCGCGGCTATATTTAAAATTTCTGACTGAGCCGAGAGAGCCAAACCGGAGACCCAACCGCTGGCAGGCCTAGAGTTTATACAAAGTTTATGTGGATTTGGGTTAGGGTTTCCCGAAATTGGGAGTACCATTTTGGGGGGGTCCTTATAATAAGGATTATAGTATTTTGGGTCCTATATTCGGGTCCCCCTATTTTGGGAAACGATCATATGGAATCTATCTGGGGCTTTATATGAGGTTAGGTTTATCTAGGGTTTACCTAAGGTTTATCTAGGGCCCTACGAGTTCAAGCAAATTATTTCGGGTGTCTCGGTGTCTCTCAAATCTAGGGCGCGTGGTGCATATATATGCTCCGGAAATGTTGTAGCCATTGTTTAGGCGCTCCTACTAGGAGGTTCCAGAGCAGTGGACATTAGAGTTAAACATCCCCCAGATACGGCCATAACCAGTTACACCATCGTGCCTCGAAGGAGGGACTCAGACAAGGCCACCTTCTTTTGTGGTGTCTGTTGGGCAATGGAGGAGAAGATTACACAAGGCCTTTATACCACCCGCAGACCGTGCTAAGCACCAGGTAGTTTTCTCGATCGCAGACTCTCAGCCAAGCTCTGGGCCCTCACACAGAGACCAGCGTCGATGCAGGTACTCCTTCCTGAGCAACCAAAGAAAACTGGATCGCGATTGGGCATGCTGCAATACTTCTCCATGCATCTGTCGATGTGCACATCGTGATACAACCGCCTTTGCCCAACAAGCGCAGCCAAGCGGCAACTCCTTCCCCGCCTTCACAATCGCAGACAGAAGGGATGACAAAGTCACAACAACCACCCCAACACTTTACATGCATCGCCATAACAGCCATAGACTTGAAGGTTGTAAGGCTTAGTAGAAAACAAAATGGCAACTGCAACTGCGCATGCGGCAGCCGCTGAGGCAAAGGGGGCGATAAACACACGGAAGAAGGAGTGTTGCCACAATCATTGCCGCCCCCATCATCGTGAAAGTCAATGATTAATTACCATTCTCAGTACTCATTTATCAAGGACAAGGCCAGTAGCCACATGCAACTGGTTCCTGACCTTTTCGAGCAGGTGTGTTGCTGCTACTGTCATGTCTGTTCAGTTGCGGGGAAGAGTCGCGGTAGCAACCACACTTTTGGGGGAGTGTACCGTGCGTTTAATGCCGGGCTCTGGCACATACAATGCTGGAGGCTGCAGCGCCAGCACCAGCACCACCATGAGCAGCACCACTACCCCTCCGACATCCACACCACAGCGCTTGCAATCGTTACAACTGACAAGGTGTAAACCTAACCATCAGTCAGACACGTAGCGAGCACTACTGAAACTGCTGTCATGATCGCTGCTGTTCTTATAATCGATGCATGGATGATGGCTACTGTTGTAAATCACTCTTTTTAATGATGCCAACCGCTCGCCCATACTCGTTTTTACGGTCTTGCGCGGCTCTCTCTCTCCCTCTCTCTCTCTACCCAACATTCCTGCGGCAGTTGATACTAAAGATCCTCGATGACCCTGAGGTATGTTGGTAGATTAAGTTCGTGCAGGATCTCTCGTGTCCTCAAAAATTCCAAGACCTAAGCCCGAAGCCCTGAACAACCCTAAGCCCCAAAGAAACCCTAAACGCTAAACAACCCTAAGCCCTAAACAACCCCAAGTGTCTCTTGCCAGGGCGCCCCTTGCCATGGGCCCGAGCCGACCCCTTGCCGCTGCGGGAGGTCCACATGGCGGAGGCTGGGGTCCGCTGTAGGGGCGGAAGCACCTCCACATGCGGGCGGTCTAGGGTTTTGGGCTTTGGCGTGTGTAGGGCTCTTGTAAGGGAGCGGAAGGGAAATGGGAACGACTTAACACCAATGGCAAAGTCGTTGATAATTCTAATAATAACATTGAGATGAGGAACCATCATGCAATGGTACTCATGGGAATGGGAAAATAATGATAGTAAGAATAGTTCGGTGATATTGAGTACGAATTTTGCATATAGAATTTTGGGTGCCAAATAAGATAGCACCGAAATTTAGAATACCCAGGGAAGGGGCCACGCTTTTGACAACCTATCACCTAAGATCAACTGTAATGATGGTGGTAGCATGGGTAATGCAACTGTCATAGCAGTCGTACAAGTATTTGAGGTGAACTTGCAGTAGCGATTACACTGGTACTCGACATCGTGGTCATAGCACAAATAACAGTACAAGTACTATGATAACAGTACGAACGCTAATGATAATTGTACGGGCAATTTTAATGGTAAAAGGAATCGTAATCATGCTAACACCGGCATCTGTAATACCTGTAATAGTCAAAGTGGTCGTACTAGTAAGGGCACCGGGGGTCTCTATGTTAAGGCACACTTTAGAAGAGCGAGCAAAATTTGGGATCCAGGTAACATGGTACTGAGAAAGACTGAGAAAACACATGGCGTCCTCCACAAGGAACCTCAGCAACAAGGCCACTTCCCGGAAGTAAGAAGCTGACACACCTTTTGCAACGAAGCTAAACCAGGAGAATCCTAGCAAAACCTGTGAGAACAAGATGAATGTTAAGAAAGAAAAACACGCAGCGCGGCATCATCCAGTCCAGTTCTGAGTGTACACTCACAGCCCATCTCAATTCTCAAGTTGCATTGTCCAGCCTCGCTCTTCAATCGCTGGGACCGATGGCTGCAGACGTTGTGTATAGCAACTGGGATCTTTCTGTCTTTTTGTAGCTTGTGCAACCGGAGGTGCAGGATGTAATTCCCGCGTCGGCTGGCTGGCTTCTCTTGCGCCAGTGGCAGGCAGGCTGTTAGAAATCCTGGGCTGCCTTTAAAGAACTTAAGACAACCTTCGATTACTTACAAGGTACCCAACTCATGGAAACTTAAATAAGCCTGAACTCCTTACTTTAGGCAACCCGGAATCTTCTCCAACTCCACGCGCAATGCTCTGGAAAACGCCACTTGTCGAGCCTTGCCAGTTTGCGTCAGTAGCTCTTTCCACTGGTCTTCTCCGGCGTCTGGGACTTCTGGAACAGATCCACTGGCTATGAGGCCTTCCACCTGTAGTGCACTTGCCGTCCCCCTTAAGTAGATAGAAGATGGGGTAGATGGGGATTATAGTATACCCAAAGCCATTTTCTATCCACTTCAGGGGGACTTTAGACCTATAATAAGGATGCTGAATAATTCCTGAGGGCTTAATTCTACCACAAGAAGAAGGAGAAATAATTCCTGAAGGAGACCACAGCCACTACTTGCCGAGACATAGCTGCTAGATCTGAGGGTAGATACCTGGGTTGCTATTAAGGAATTTCATGTAAGTTACTATGGGGGATCCTACTAATTTCTATATACACCTAAACCTAATATGTACCCCTTATGGTAACTTAAGCCCTATATAAGCCCTGAACCCTAAACACAGGAATTATGGTCACTTAACGGTAAGTTCCTGGACAGCAACCCAGATACCGCAGATCAGAGCCGTACGCCTCGATAGCCTGTTGGAGGGCCAAGTTGTCCTTCCGAATATACAGTTATACAGGGTTTAGGGGTTAGGGTTAGGGTTAAGGGATTAGGGT